TGGAGAGGTGTTCTCTTCACGGATGAATCCCGGTTTTCACTGTACAGGGCAGATGGCAGACAGTGTGTATGGCGTTGTGTGGGTGAGCGGTTTGCTGATGTCAACGTTGTGGATCGAGTGGCCCATGGTGGCGGTGGGGTTATGGTATGGGCAGGCGTATGTTATGAACAACGAACACAAGTGCATTTTATTGATGGCATTTAGAGATACCGGAGATACCGTGACGAGATCCTGAGGCCCATTGTTGTGCCATTCATCCACGACCATCACCTGCATGATAATTTATGGACATAGCCATAGGCGCCGATTTATGTTTCTGCCAGTGGGTGCAAAAAAACGAGCATTTTATTTTTTTTATAAACCACATTTTCACCGCTGTTTACACAAGTAAATGATAACCAGGCTACGTTATCATACTGTAACGGAGCCGACGAGACGAGAGACGTGCGGATCCATCTGCAAAGCTTTTATTTAAAGGCGTGGTCATAAAACAGGCAAGGTTCAGACAATGGCAAACAGGTATATTGAGGGCAAGACAAAGAGTAATCCAAAACGGGCGTGAGTCAGTCGACAGCTAACGTAATCCAAGGGGCTTGACAAAAGGGGTAGTCCAATAACAAGAGCAATAGTCCAGGCGAGGTGCAAACACAGTCCGAAACAGCAAGGCAAAGGATTAATCCAAGATACACAGGCAGAAGATCAGAACACGAGAAAACAGGTAAGGCAAGACTTTGACTAGACTTTGGAAACTAGAACTAAATACTTAAACAAGGACAGGGAACTGGCTCCGTAAAGTAGCTATCGCTAGGTAAGTGATATGCGCTTACAATACTCGGCGTTGAATGGTGGTGTGAGACTGATTTACATAGTGTGTGTTATTGGTAGCAGCTGTGTGTGATTGGTTTCCAGGTGAGCTTGTGATTAGTGCAATGGAGCATGGGAAATGCAGTCCAGGGTGATGTGTAACAGTCTGTGTGGTGTGAGAGTCAATATAATGGGAGGGCGACCTCTGGTGGCAAGCAGACGGAAGTTCATGGACAGGATTCGTGACAGCTACGTGTACTGCGTTAGGCTAACCGAGACTTGTCATTTGCACTTATATATTGTTGCTCTTTTGTTAGTTTTGACTACTTTTATTGTCCTCATTTGTAAGTCGCTTTGGATAAAAGCATCTGCTAAATGACTAAATGACTAAAAATGTTATCATTAAACTTTATATGGCTGTGATTTAATTAATTAAACGTGAGCACGGCATGTTTCAAAATAAAAACGCAGTTAGCAATCACCAAACAGCCCACATTTATGCCAACATGTTGTGTTGTTTCGTTGTACTGATGATGAATAATGAATATTTTGTGTGATTTTATGGTCTTTAAATCATACCCGTAAACTCACATTTCATCCAGGACAGTTTTGATGGCATTTTCTTTTCATATTACCTCCGTATAAAGCCTGTAATAACGTAGTGTTTACTTTATGTAACGCTGTAATTCTGCTCTTATTAAAGTAGAGCAAAGAGTGAATTTGCATATTCACTTATATTCACATTTTACGCAGAACAGTGTTGTGAATTAACTGGCATATTAACAAGAAAAAAAAAATCGAAATTTGACATAAATAATTGTCAGGAAGCTTAAAAAAAAAAAGAAAAAAATTTTTTTTCTAGGGTAGGGGGGCCTACCATAATGCTGTAGCCCAGGGGCCTCTGGTTATCATAAAGCGCCCCTGCCTACCCCTAACACTTTTTGACCTTAAGAGCTCTTTTAAGGGTTAAGATGCTTAAAGAATAACTTTTATCTTTACTAGGATCTTCTCTTTAATTCTATGGGAACACCCAATTTTCTAAGAATTTTCTTAGAATTTTGCCACTAGGAGCAACTCTTTGCACTAAGAATTTTCATGAATTTTCACATTATGCTACATGATGTTTTTTTTTTCTAGGCACATATACACCAAACCCAGTCACTGTTTACTCACAGCTCACACTCATCATCACACTTGCCTTCCTCACCAGGACTCCACCAGTTTGACGGATGGCTGGCTCTGAAGATTGGCGGGCAACAAGGTGACTTCCCTCATCGTATTGGCCAACCTCACTGCCAGTTCTTTCCGCAGAAACATGTAGGAGGTTTTTTCACATGCATTTTCCCTGCCTGGTTAAACAAGAGGCAAGAACAAGTTATTCTTTGTTTTCCGATTATGCGCCTGTTGAGTCACTGTATGCATGAATGTGCACTTCTACAGCAGAATTACAACTATTGTACAGTATACTGCAAAAGATTAGAAAGACATAAAGAAGTCATTATAAATAATCAGCAAATAGATAATGACCATGGGTTACAATAATCAATCAAGGGCACTAAAAAGGAATGTTACACCTCAAATATTATATATATTATACACACTACCAGCCAAAACTATTATTATTATTTTCCATATTTTAGAATAATAATGAAGTCATTAACAGTGAAATAACACAAATGGGGAATTATGTAGTGACAAACAAATCCTAATGTAACAGCTATGCACACACTAGCCATTCATAAAAAAGAAATGTGTATTTTTTTTTTAATAAATAAATGTTTTTGTGAATATATTAAAGTTTGATAGGCTATTTAAATATATATTTAGATTTTTATTTACTAGGTAATTCAGGTTATATTTTCTGTCCTTCCAAACTTTTGATTGGTACTTTATTTGGACATTATGCATAACAGAACCACACATGGGACTCTTTAGAGTTATGAGTTGTGTAATAATGCATTTATTAATACCAAAAGCACTTTTTATCCTTTGCAAAATTGGACCAAGTTCATGAAGCTATGACACAGGGTGATATGTAATGGACAGTCTATTTTTATTTAGGCAGTGCAATGCCAACAGAGCTTTAGCTTTCACTTGACCTTAACAATAAAGGTTAATATACAGTATAAATATAGACAACATGTTGCTTTAATCACGGGGAATATGTGGTGAGATTAAAAACTAAATCAACATAAGACACACAGTAGAAATCACTGAAGGCAGGTTCAGCACGAGACAATCGTACTTTAAAAAAATACCATCTGTTGCATCAGTAGCGGTTCTTTAACTCAGTGCTCTGCGTTTATCTCAATATTTCATTAACTTACTCACCAAAATCCAGAAATTGCTTGATTGACATCGGTGATGGCGAGAACCTTGAATAATATTCGATTTTTTGCCTGACATCTTTCAGTAAGTAGTTAAACAGTTTCATGATTATAAAACAAGTCTATCAACTACCATACAGCTCGAGTACAGCGCTCACTCCCGACCTGATGTGGACTGAAAGTCGTATTTCACTCATTCAGCACTTTACGATCCATTTCGTTTCTATAGCGACAGCGTTGTTGTGGCGCTTGTTATCACGCAGAATCGTGTGATCCTCATCACGTGACATGACAGCGCGTGCTATCACTTGCAGGGTTGATTACACTGGATTATACTGTACTGCTAAGTACCTGCTTTAAGCTTCTATTTTGAGCAAACTGTTATACTAGGTTTAATAGACCAATTATAGGTTTGTAAACATTCAGGATGCGCGCGCATCATGGTTGCAGAAAACCCGGGAGAGATAGCCTTTATGGCTAGAGAATTTCACGGATACAGTACAAAATAGTTAGGTTTAAAAAGATTATAAATTATATTGATTAGATGTCATTTTCAAAATGTTCTCCGCATATTACAAGAGCTTGTCACCCAGCGATAAGCACTCTGTTATTTACGGTGAACGAGAAGGGCAAAACAAATCACAATTCTGAAAACAAAATAACAAATTACAAACGCAAATGCAAGTCTATAAAACAAAATAACAATTCAGAAAACATTATAACAAGTCAGAAAACACAATGACAAATCCAAAAACAAATGAACAAGTCAGAAAACACAACGACAAATCAGACAAACCGGAAGAGGTAGGTACAGTTTGAGACAGCGCCAGTGGTTTGGGATTACTCACCGCTGACTGGACGAGACATCTGTCAATCAACGTATACAGGAAGAACCAGCCGAAGACAGCAGAGTCATAGTAGAAAGATCGGAGATGGTATTAAAGTAGCTCAGTTTAAATGTATTGTATGAATTGTCTTGACTATGGAATAAAAAATACGGGGTGTCTATTTACATTTAGTTAAAAGTGGCTGTAAAACATCAGCTCCAGTGGTGCAGATAGATAAGCGCGTGTTGTTGGCTTTTTGACGCGTTCGAAGCCTTTACGATGTGATACGAGATTTGAAAAGGGAGAAAAAAAAAGTTCGGCAAAAGGCGGGATCGAACCCGTGTTGATCGCGTCAAAAAGCCAACAACACGCGCTTATCCACCTGCACCACTGGAGCTGATGAATTACAGTCACTTTTAACTAAATGTAAATATACACGTACAAATGTTTTCAGAATTGTGATTTGTTTAGCACTTCTCGGCCACCGTAGTTATTCAACGAAATTGACGTTAGAGAGTAGGATAGTTACAGATCCGAAACAGGGATGACGTCTGATTGGCCAGCTATCCAGTGCGTTGTGATTGGCTGAATACCTTAAGCATGTGACGGAAATGTTACGCCCCTCACCATATTGTGATATGATGCCCTGTCAGGCCGATGATTCATGCAAGTGACGTAACTGTGACGTCTACTCTGAATTGGTCTATAGACTCTTCAATAGCCCTTAATGGGAGATCAATTAATAAAAAAAATTAATAAATCATGTACTTCATTAGTGACCTTGGATTTGAGTTGAAAATATATTTAAGACAATACACGACAGAGCCTGCAGTTATGAACAGACATTGCTTGCATTGTTTCACTGTTACAGTGCTGCATATATACCACAGCATATCATTCATTTATGCTAATCATTTTCAAAATTTTTGTGAACATTTTAAAAAGCGGCTGCAAGTTCATTTTATAAACCAAACTGTGATCTAGAATGAACATGAAAATAAACATTAAAAATAACCTTTTCTGAACTAACACATGATATCAGTGATATTTGGAACAATTAATAAACTGACTTCTTGTTATTTATTTATCATTCATTCATTCATTCATTGTAATTACAAATTTAAATCAATCTAGAGGCAATTGCTGGGCCACCATTTCGATACCAGAAATCCAGAATAAGTAACTAATGTGATATTCTATAAAAAGTAAAGATCTAGGAAAAAAGCAGCACAAATTTGTTTTATGTGTAGTTTAAGGTCCTACAAATAATAAAACTTTGGTTAAAATGAGCCATCAAAAAATTAGATATTTGTTAAGCAAATAAACAACAATAATAAAAGTTAAAAGTCACTGCAGAATAAATATGTTACCAAATGAGAACATATCACTGTGTACATACAGAATTATTAGTTAATAGAGTAGAAGTAATAGAGTACTAGGAGCTACTAATAAAGTACTGTAGGTTATTGTAATGTAAGTCACATTTGTTGCAAAGTCAAATGTAGCAAATGTAGATTTGATGTTAAATAACTTTTGTATAAACATGTAAGGTTAAACCTTACATGAAACATATACTGGCTACATACAAATATTTTAAGCCTATTACATTAATCCCAAGACTGCATAAGCATCCTCCGTAGTCATTTAGACAGTTACATGAGAGGTGATAGCTATGGGCAGTCTAGAACTTACTGATATCTGCAACCTCAGCAACCATTAATTACACAGTAAAAAGAGAGATAAAAGAATATGGATCAGCTGTTATTTAGAAAGTTGATAGCCAGTGGAGCTGTTTGTAAACAGGTAAGATCAGTAACAGTAGATCTTTTCCACTGTGATGTCTGATGGCAGCAAACAAATCATACTAGCATGCTTTTGCTTTTCATAATAGTGAACAAATAATATACCTTTGTAACACACCCCTCCCCAATACCGTAGTTCGAAGAATATAAAAATACTGTGGAGATTGTTCTCAAACTGTTCCAGATATGATGTTTGCAATCACCCACCTATTCATTGTCAACAGCTGTCTAAAAAAAATGAAGAGAGAGAGAGAGAGAAAGAAAGAAAGAAAAAAAGGAATGCATCTCAATTAAACCAAGGAGCTTATTAAATCTATGTGCTCACTGTAATTTAATGAACACAATCTGTCAAATACCACCTAATAAAAAAAACTGTATCATATATTTATTTCATTCAAGTGCAATATAGATTTTTTATTATTATTAAAAACTATATCAAAGGAATCAGGAAAAAAGTTGTTGAAGTTATAGGGCTATGGCAAGAAATCATGCACTTATATAATATATAATAACAAACAACCCTTGAATATAATAACAATCAACCCTACTCAACAACTGGAAAGCAAGATTTCAAAATAGCAGGATGAATCACAACAGTATAAGAGACAGTGTCATATTTCCCTCCATTTTTAATTGAGAAATTGTTTGTGAATATGCAGCTTTATTTTTCACTTTTTTTTATTCTGACAGATCTTATTTTTGCAAGTAACACAAAAAATGAAAGCCTGTCAACAATTAAGTAGGCTACAAATAAATATTCACGGATGTGTGCCGACTCATCTGTGCCAACCACAACAGATCTCAAGTTAATAAAACCAGTTTTGCCTGTCACATTTATGAGATAGCCCAGGCATGTTTTACATAGGCATGGATACTTGTTATGCCACATTATACTGTACAGTGAAGCAGAAAGAAAAAGAAAGCAATGCTTTTCGAGTTTGATTCTTTGAGTGGGTTATTATCTGGGCAGTGTGGGAATATATGCATTTGTTGACCGGGCGGGTAGCTTAGAGCTATTTGTGGAAACCAAGCCTAATGTTTCATGTTAATCAGCTAAGAAGCTCAGCACACTCCACCTGCAGTCTCTCACTCTCACCAGGATAAAAGCACTGAACAAGTCCTATGTTCTATACACGATCAAACATTTCCTGCAAAAACAGAAAGCAGCGTCTAATGGCTTGGAGCATATTGATTAAAGTTATAACATGGATGGTTTGTTTGTTGTTGTTGTTGTTGTTATTGTTGTTTTTCTTTGTCTAAGCCGTCTGTCTACTTTGAGATCCATGACAATGACGATTCTGTAATTAATCTAATTCAGTTACTACTGAAAAAGACAGCTCACCTCCAAAAGTTGGTGCTTGTTTTGTCCCCGCCCAGCTGGTTGTGAACGCCTCTATGATGTGAAGTCCGAATCATTCCAACGAATCGGTTCGTTCGAACCGGTTCAAAAGTGATTCAGCGATCTTTTCTTTTACGTCATACATCTTTTAGTTTTAGATTATATGTCAGAGACACATGATGCATCCCAATAAAGCCACCTGCAGGGACATACGTAGTTTATTAGAATATTATTGCGAATTAATAAGTTTCATAATAAGAGTGTTTATTTGGCCTATAAGTTCGTTTAGCCTATCAGTTCAGTTCGCTACAGACATGAATCATAAATCAAAGAATAATTTAGAACTGTTTTAAATTGTATGTAAATGCTAAAATAATTAATACTATACTATACTATACTAGATATTTGGCATGTTTTACCATGTTCAGAAACATAAAATTATATATTTTTAATGAAAAACTTTATGCCTGTTGATAAAACTGTCACAAATGGGCGTCGCTAGGCCATTTTTAGGGGGCTATAGCCCCCCTAAAATGATTACTCAGCCCCCCTAAAAATTTTGCGATTAGCTCCATAAACTGTACACGAATTCGTGATCGCCTCAGTCCCCATTAAATTTCATCTGAAAATGGCGGCAGACTTCGGCTCCTCCCCGTCTTTCAGCGCATTCTTCATTCCGCAGAGGCGCAGAGTGAGAAACAGAGGACATGGTGTGTGTTTATCGATAGATTGTTATAATATCTGCATCTGTGCAGTTCTTTGTCATAAAGACAGTTTACAAAATATCATGGGGGAGCAATCGGTTCCCC